ATATCATCCAAACCCTACTCTCCGCTCCTCACACGGCCTCCTGCTCTCTAGCTCCCTTGTCTCCTCCTCCTATGCTCCTCTCCAGGACTTCCCCAGAGCTTCCCCCATCCTCTGGAACCCTCTACCCCAATCTATCAGACTATCGCCTACTCTGCTCACCTATCTCTTCAGGGAAGCCTATCCTGCCCTCAGCTAATAATGGAATCTTCTACTCCTCCTACCACTCCATCCCCCACAGTTACTACCTTTTGTACCACTAGCCCCCCCCCCCCCTTAGATTGTAAGCTCCTAAGGAGCCTTCTTGTGTTTGAACTGTATTGTTGCTGTATTGTCTCCCGTTATATTTTAAAGCGCTGAGCAAACTGTTGGCTATATAAATCCTGTATAATAATAAAAAAATAAAAAAAAAAATCAGATTATCACTGTAAACTTTAAAATTACATGAAATTGTAATGAATTGACTTGTTAACTAGCTTTTTTTGCACAGTATATTTTCACTTCACAGTAAAAAAAAAAAGCCACTCCTCTCATGGCAAGATGTAAAATAGCCTTGAAGTTTTATGGTAATTTGCTGTTTATAGGTAAATTTTACATCAAGGGCAGTCCTGGTAGTTATACCCAGTGGTGTGTTTAAGCTTTGTGCTGCCCTAGGCAACACAAAAATTGTCTGCCCCCACAGACACCAACAAACGACACCCTCTTCCCCTCCTGAGGAGAAAGCCTGAGATGACCAACAACAACCCTGTCCCCCCACCCGGGAGCCTTCCACTACCCCCCCCCCGGCAATAGAGAGACACTCATCTTCACAGCTTCGGACATCCCCTGGAATGAAAATCAGGATATACATAAACCATCAAGCAGCCCTCAGCCTCTCTTGGATTCCACCTGGTTCCCGTGGTGCGTGTGTCCCTTATTTCATCCCTTTTTCTGGGGGGAGTTGCTGCCCCCTGAAAAATGCCACCCTAGGCAAGTGCCTTGTTTGCCTTGTGGTAAATACGCCCCCTGGTTATACCCACTTTGTGAACACACACAATTGTTTTAATATTGCTCTCAAATTTTCATAAAGTCATAGCTTCATCTAGGTGATCTGTTAAGTATTGGGGAAAAAAAATTATTTCAGGCATCTTACATTAAACAAATGTTAACGTGGTCTTTTGGCAATAACTTGGTTATAAATCCCAACCATGGCACCACCTGCCTGGAGTTTGCATGTTCTCCCTGTGCCTGCATGGGTTTTCTCCAGGTACTCTGGTTTCCTTTCACACTCCAAAGACATGCTGGTAGGTTAATTGGATCCTGTTTAAATTGGCCCTAGTATGTGTATGTATGAATGTAAGTTAGGGACCTTAGATTGTATGCCGTTTGAGGGTTAGGGACTGATGTAAATGTACAATATATATGTGTAAAGTGCTGTGTAAATTGACAGCGCTATATAAGTACCTGAAATAAATAAATAATAAATGGTACAAATTTGGCATTAGAGCTATTCCTATAAACAATGTTTTCTGGATGTATTGCTCCACCTACAAAAATGACATATGATACACAAGATTTAGATTCAACTAACATGCAATAAAGCCACCACAATTGTATCGCCTGCAAAAGTGTCAAAAAGTATAATTTAAAAAATGCTTAAGGAAGAAAACCACAATTAAAGTATAAAGTGACCTTGCCACAACTTTCCGTAAAGGAATGGATAAAAAGAGTACGCATTTTGCTGAAAAATCAGCTTTGATTTCAATACTTAGATAACCTAATATGGTAATTCTGAAGAAAAAATGGTGATGTCTTAGCAGAAATAAAAACGAGTAATAATAAATACATAAATAAATCAAATTAAAAAAGGAAACAAAAAAAATTAAACACATTTTTCTTTATGGAAGTTAAACAAGAGGCATGAGCTTTTTTCCCCTCAATTTTTATTTCATTTCTTCATTCTATTTTTTTTTTTTGCATCACTTTTTTTTTTTCTCCTCTTCTGCTTTTTTCACATTTTTCCTTTTATGTCATACATGTGCAGCCAAGTAAGCATGGGTCATGCATACCTTGTTCACCAACTCCTCTCCAGAAAACTGCTGCCTATAAGAGGAACTTTGATGTTATAGAGAAGACATTTGCAATGTGGAAATCCACATTTCTTGGTTTCTTGGTAGTTGCAGGCAGTGCCTTACAGCAATCTGAATGTGGTGTTGCATCACATTTTGCTTGTGTGTTTTCTACCTAATGCTGTGTTTAGAAACCATAGGAATCCACATTTGAGAAAGATCAGGAGAGGAGTTTCTAGCATAGCTTCTAGGAGTGGGAGGGCATCTCATCCTTTCTCCAGTGTATTCTCCTTTTTCATCTACCTACATATCCTCTCAGATCTATATTGAATCTTCCACCTAATACAACTTTTGTCTACTGCTCTACTCTACCACATTCACTCCTCCATCTAAAATAGCTCCAGAAACACGCATATGGTACAAACTCACACTTGGGCAAATTTCTCCCTGAGAATGGCCGGAAGACATATATCTGCCTCTTTTTGCATTACTCTAAAAATACTCCATGTCTCACTGAGATCAATCCCTGACCCTACACTAACAGCAGTGCACACAAGTATTTCACTCGGGTCCTTCACTCTTCTGTGGGTGAGTGCATCAGATGACAAGGATCCTGATTGTCACATACTTAAATATTCAGAATGGGTGGCTGCAAGAATGTGTTAAGTAAGTGAACCCTGCATGCCAAAATAATGCAGAGTATAGTGCAGACATACAAATTAATACTCTGTAGGTTTTTTTTTTTTTTTTTTCTTAAGAATATAAGTTAAAGTGATATTATATGCAATTAAAAAATGAACAACAACCAAATTGGTTGTTTATCAAGATGGCTGGTAAGTGTTGCTGGGAAATCTTTTGTTTGTTTTGCGATGTGCATTGCCCTTCCATGTGCACCTTACTGCAAAGGCTGGTTATAGTTTGGGACAGTTGCCATTTTTTTTTTGTAGTTGGCTAAATTGGATGCACTGGATGCCTTTGCTGTCATTTTGGTATAGCTGGGTGTCACGTGCGTCCCTGTACCTTTTAAGGAAGGATGGGCTCCTCTAGGCACACCTGCCTTAACCTTTCCATGGATACATGTGCTCCCACTATGGAGGCTTTGGAAATTTTAGTTAGGTCCACAGTATACAGAGGCCCCTTGACGTGGGACTGTGGCTTACGCATGTATTTGCAAATGTGTGCAAACACAACCCTCTGTTTTTAACACACAAACTGTTAGACAGGGCCAAATTGGTTGTTTTGCAGACTGGTTGGTAAGTGTTGCTGGGAAATCCTGTTTTTTTGTGATGTGCATTGCCCTTCCATGTGCACCTTACTGTTAAAGCTGGTTATAGGTTGGGACGGTTGCCATTTTTTGTGTAGTTGGCTAATTTGGACACAGGGACGCATTGGATGCCTTTGCTGTCATTTGGTATAGCTGGGTGTCACGTGTGTCACTGTACCTTTAAGGAAGGATGGGCTCCTCCAGGCACACCTGCCCTTAACCTATCCATGGATACATGTGCTACTATTATGGAGGCTTTGGAAATTTTAGTTAGGTCCACAGTATACAGAGGCCCCTTGACGTGGGACTGTGGCTTACGTATGTATTTGCAAATGTGTGCAAACACAACCCTCTGTTTTTAACGCATACTGTTAGACAGGGCCAAATTGGTTGTTTCGCAAGCTGGCTGGTAAGTGTTGCTTTTGTTTGTTTTGCAACAACCATGTTATACTCACCTGCACTGTGCAGTGGTTTTGCAAAGAGAGTTCTAGGGCAGCCAAGGCTTTCGTGCACATTGATTGCAATGTATAGAATGCATGAAGGTAGAAAACCTTGAGCCTTTACAGACACTTTAAAAAGCTTTTTTAACTATGATCAGTGATCCAGTACTTGTAGGCCAATGATATGGCAGGGGAGTTGCCGCACAAGGTTGATTGACATCTTTGAAGCAGTATTGGATACTAAATGGTCAAAGTAGCTGTCAATCAACAAGAAGGTATGTGTGTGTGTGGGGGGGGGGGGGGGGGGGGGGGGGTCACTATAGCACATTTGGTAAAGCATGGTTGCCTGTAGTTCACACAGGGGAGTGATAATGCTTTCAGCAGCATCAGGAGCTGGTGGGATAATGTTGTCATGCTGTTACAGGAGGAATTCTAGGAGAGCAGAAACTTGCAGAATCAATGGGTATTTAAAGCATTTGCAAAATCCCTTACATATTTCCAGTGAAGTGACAAGTCTAAAGTGATACACAGAAATGAAACAAATCATTCTACATACATTGCACCTGTTTATCTGCAGCCCTCTCTTCTCTACAGCCTTCAAAAACACACATTTTACACCACATATCTCAGCAACAGAAAGCAGAAGGTGGGGATGTGACATGGCACACTGCAGAGCTAGAGCACAGAGCTCTGTGAAATTTGATAGCTGATGGAAGGAAAGTGACACACACGCTCTTCAAGGACTCAGAGAAGCATAGAGCTGAGTCAAATGCAGGCCATAGACAGGTCGAAAACCATCCATTTACAAAAAACCCCGAAAAATCGATCGTTCAATAGGCCGACGTTACCACCAACCACCAATGGTAAAAAAAAAAAAAAAAAAAAAAAAAAAAAAATCGGCCAATTTTCGTCCCGTCTACGGCCAGCATTTAATTACTTCTGTCCCTGCAGAGAGCTCCGTTATTATATTTGACATGAAAAAGTATAGCGGTTTGCAACATTGTATCTATTTGTATCCATTTTGGATACAGATGTTTTTATTCGGATACAGATACATTGTTGCAACCGCTATACTTACCGTATTTTTCGCTCCATAAGACGCACCTGACCATAAGACGCACCCGAGGCAGAAAACAGGAAAAAAAAATTCTGAACTAATGGACTGCAGACATAGTACAGGAGATGACCAGAGACTGCAGACATAGTACAGGAGATGACCAGAGACTGCGGACAGTACAGGGATGACCAGAGACTGCGGACACAGTACAGGAGATGACCAGAGACTGCGGACATAGTACAGGGGATGACCAGAGACTGCAGACACAGTACAGGGGATGACCAGAGACTGCGGACATAGTACAGGGGATGACCAGAGACTGCAGACACAGTACAGGGGATGACCAGAGACTGCAGACACAGTACAGGAGATGACCAGAGACTGCGGACACAGTACAGGAGATGACCAGAGACTGCGGACACAGTACAGGAGATGACCAGAGACTGCGGACACAGTACAGGAGATGACCAGAGACTGCGGACACAGTACAGGAGATGACCAGAGACTGCAGACATAGCACAGGAGATGACTAGAGACTGCAGACATAGTACAGGAGATGACTAGAGACTGCAGACATAGTACAGGAGATGACCAGAGACTGCGGACAGTACAGGGATGACCAGACGCTGTGGACACAGTACAGGAGATGACCAGAGACTGCGGACACAGTACAGGGATGACCAGAGACTGCGGACACAGTACAGGAGATGACCAGAGACTGCGGACACAGTACAGGGATGACCAGAGACTGCGGACAGTGCAGGGATGACCAGAGACTGCGGACACAGCACAGTGATGACCAGAGACTGCGGACACAGCACAGTGATGACCAGAGACTGCAGACAGTGCAGGGATGACCAGAGACTGTGGACAGTACAGGGATGACCAGAGACTGCGGACAGTACAGAGATGACTGCTGACCTTTGGGGAGGGAGGGGGAGCGGGTACCTGAATTTGACAGGTACCCGCTCCCACTTCCGCAGAGTTTTTTTTTTTTATCTTACCTGTTCCTCTATCCAGCCCGCGCGCTGTCTTTCCGGCTTCTGTAGTGTGGGCACTCGTCGGACAGCCGGATTCCCAGTGCGCATGCGCGAGAAGCGCTGCGCTTTGTGATTGGTCCGGCGGCTTCTGGGATCTGTCATGTGTCCCAGGTACCGCCTTACCATTCACAAAGAGCACTGCTTCTTGCGCATGCGCACTTGGGACCCGGCTGTCACGCACACTACAGAAGCCGGGAAGACAGCGCGCCGCTGGATAGAGGAACAGGTAAGGTCCCACTGCAGAGCTGAGCGGCCGGCCCGGTATTCTGACACGGCGGCGGTGGAAATACCGGACCGGCCGCTCTATATTCGCTCCATAAGACGCACTGACATTTTCCCTCCTTTTTTGGGGGACAAGAAGTGCGTCTTATGGAGCGAAAAATACGGTATGTCAAATATAATAGTGGACTGGAATTCTTATTCTTTTTCTTCAGCTTCTTCTTTTTCTTCTTCTTCTTGCAGGTCATGGCTCATGCGCAGATTTTTTATTGGTAAAAAGATCAGCCAATTTGCCCATTAATGCCGCGAAAATCGGCTGATCGGCAAAATCGGCCGATTTTTTTCCAACTTTACCGATAAACAAAAAAATTGGGGCAGGTTGGTTCCTGGGAGGCCGAGGTGTTGCCTAATCTATCGGTAATGAGTCATGCAGAAAGCATAGACAGGAAAAATCAGAGAGGAACCAGACTTGGTGATTTGGATTCTGGTTAGTACACACAATAGATGTCCAAGCTTTGTTCATATTTCATGTCTGAGGTTTACAAACACTTCAATAAACATTTACTCGCACCAATATAAAAAAATAACATTTGCTCAACTATATAAGGCGAAAATGAAACTATTTACACAATTATAGTATCTGTATTTACATACTCATTGTTCACAAAGCCATCCTTAACTTTGACACAAGTATATTTGCTTTTTCTATACATTGGCAATTAATTGGCTGTAAGAAATATTAAAGCAAGCTAGTCTTTCCTAATAGAGGTTTACATCATTTTGCCCTCCACATTACAGCAACAAAACCTTTCAGTGAATGATTGGGGGTTTATGTGTAAGCATGACGGTACAATTATTATTATTATACAGGATTTATATAGCGCTAACGGTTTGCTCAGCGGGCGAGTGGGAGACAATACAGTAACAATACAGTTCAATACAAGAGGGATAGGAGGGCCCTGCTCCTTGGAGCTTACAATCTAGGAGAAACGATGTTATTCAAATTTTATGATAAGGCTCTTCCTGTCACCTAGTTCTAATAGCCCAGCCAGAGTTGAAAGAATGATTTACTGATTTACTTAGCCCTGGTTCACACTGACGTGGTTCGGAATTTGCAGCATTTTCAGTGCGAATTCCACACCGCATCAGAATCGCACCCAGTTCTTGCGAACTGCTAAGTTAACAACACCCTGAAAGTGGTGCAATGTGCAGAATCGGATAACATAGGTGTGAATACCTATGAGATCTGATTCTAGTGCGGACCAAAAAAAGGGTCCTGTACGTTTTTGGTGCGGGTGCAGTGCGATTAGAGACATACAAAATGTATGGCTCCAATTGCACCGCATACAAATCACATGTGATTTGCACAGGAATGCGGTGCGGTTCCTGTGTGAATCACATGCGCTTGACCGCACCGCATATATGCGAACCCAGGCTAAAAGACAAATAAGCGGTTTATAATCCTAGGGAAGTTGCACTGCACAAGAGAATTTTCCCCAGAGCATAGCAGGTGAAGTTTCACTTGCAAAGAATAGCCAATCACTTACAAAGAATGTTGCATCATTCTATAGTTATACTAAATGTTCTGTAACTACTATAGTAAAGAAAAAAAACAAGATTTTATTTTAATTCTTCTTGTTAGCATTATGTTGCCTCTCCAAATAAAACAGTTTTTTTGTTTTTGTTTTTTTTTTACACACGTTAAGCTCTTTACATGTGCAATGTCCTTAGTACACCACCCCAAAATAGGCAATGCCTTAACAAAATATTGTTTTCCCTTATAATGATTTATTCTGGACAAAACAAACATGGGTGACATATATCGAAACCAAAAAGGGAACTTTTATGCTTTTAAAGAAGAAAATAGAATAAATATAACCCTTTAAAAGTCCAGAAAGACTAAACTATGTATTTTCAAACAGGGGACAAGTGATGGGTAGATCAGATTTTTAGAAGTCCCCGCCTCCCTAGATAGAATACAGCCATAGTCAATTTTGTTGATTTCAGTTAATGCATAATGTATAGGTGATATTGCTAAACACAGAGAGACTGAATTAGTAGTAGCTCTGTGCATTTGTACTGAAACAAAATTGTATTTTTAACAAATTAGGAAAACAACTGCTGGCATTTTTTTTTTCATGGAAATGACCTGATTTTTGCATTTTATTTTACCTGATTACAATGTATTTTATTGAAGCTGACACATTCTTACAGGCATAGCAAGTTTCTACTGTATAAACTTCTTGTAAGCTTTATCCTATGTTCTTTTATCTTAATGGAGTTCCACACCAATTTTAACACATTTATATATCTAATTAAATAATAAGTTGTCTGTGAAGGAGACTTAATTTTTACATATAATAGAGGATAAAGTATAGAGGTCAGTAGCTTGGAGCTGACTATGCAGGCAGAAGGAAAGTTGTCATTTCCAGCATCAATGCACAGCACGATAAGGAGACCCTTGTATGGGATATTGTGTTTTGATACTACTAAATGAATGAATGTGTAATGTATTAAAAAAATAAAAGCATGATGGTGGATTGAAAAGTTCATTAGCATCATCACCAGAGAGGGGAACAATCCACACAGTTTTGAATAGGAAAAATCAGGAAAGTGTCCACTGAATGTTTACTTGGTTTCATTGTGATTCATGCATTGTGATATATGGTACATGCATTATTTCTGTTGTAGGAACTTAAACACAGCCTACGCACCACATTTGTGAAAAAATGGCTTTTGACTGCTGATTAACAACACGTACGTTTCCAGGCCTCATCTGACTTGCTAGTCCATTTTCAAGCTGATCCTGCAAACTTCACAGACAGATTTGATGTCATGGAAGCAGGGGCGGACTGACCATTTGGAAACTCGAGCACTGCCCGAGGGCCCGGGGTCAGTAGGGGGCCCCATGAGTGCCCCTGGTACCTTTTTCAAGGCTTTTTTGAGTTTGGGCAAGGACACAGGGGCCCCATGATCCCCTATTGCCCGGGGGCCCGACAGATTAGGTCTTAAAACGCTCACGTTGTTGACCAGGAGTCAACAGACAATTTTTCACAAAATGTGTGTAGGCTGTGTTTAAAAATGTTTATTAACATGATAAGTTCACCCTTGGGAAACATGTTACATGTTCCACCTGACAAATAGCACGGGGAGAAATTTCTCTGTACTATCTGTCAGATTTGAAAACAGTGTGGCCTCGTCACTCATTCACAGAGTTCTGTGAATGAATGAACTGCAAGTCCCAGCAGCCTTAGCGGCTGCCGGCTTGTAGTTTTCAATGAACTACAACAGCGCTGTGGAGCACCATGGTAGTTCATTGAAGCTTCCTGTCAGAATATCTGCTTGACATCCCAAGCAAGCAGATATTCTGACAGGTCTTCAGGAGACCTACATAGCACCAGCGATCAGTATGCTTTCCAGGCTCCATTGGACAAAAATAATAAATGCACATTTTGTTACCTGCAAAAAATGTGCATTTATTATTTTTGTCCAAAAGGTGAACTTATCCTTTAAGTCACATATATAAATCACTTGCATCTCCTCTGTTGTATGAAGATACTGTATAAAGCACAGTATGTAAGTTTTTTTTTTTTTAATTATAATCCTAAATACCTTCTTACACAGACCTTCCTTTCCCGTTACCTTCCTCTGCTGGTTGGCATACGTCATCCCATCGCCCTAATTTCTGTCTCTCCTTTTTATCAGTTCAACTCCACCAATAGTACGAACAATAATCGGCTAACTAACAATGTGATAAGAACAAAAAAATTCATAATCTGCAAAAATATAAATCATCACAATTATAAATCCCACCAGCACAATAATAATACAAAAACCCAGTTAGTAACAAATAATAGGAACCCTGCAGCTAGTTATAATACTAATAATAATAATAATGTCCTGAACATTATAAATGATACATTTATACATTATAAAATTAGAAGTTCCAGCAGCAACACATTTTAATATTGATAAATATGTTAGCAATAGCCCCATTGGTAGCACATACTCTGACCAGCAACCCATCACAATAATAATTGTATTATCTGCCCATGATCATACATACAATAGCCTCATTTGCAGCATATAATTATTAAAACAACCCCACCAGGAGTACATTAAAGTGGCTGTAAAGACTAAATATTTTTTTACCTTCAGGCATTCTATGCCTGAAGCTAAAAAACCTTCAGTGTGCAGCTTCCTCCGCAACCCCCCAAATACTTACCCGAGTCCGATCCTGATCCAGTGATGTGCACAAGAGCAGCATCTCACCCGAGACTCTCTCTCCTCATTGGCTGAGACACAGCAGCGGGAGCCACTTTGGTACATTTTTGTACAGTGCAATTTGATTTCTTTTTTTGCAAGATTTGCTGTGCAAGTATTTTGGCATATGTGGGGTGCCATTAAGAGTGAATGGCAGCCAAAAGCACCTTGCACATTTTGCTATGATTTTTTTTTAACACTATCTGGAATCAAGGGAAAAATTGCTCAATTTTGCCTGTGATTCTTGATCGTGCTAAAATCAG